TTATCTTGTCTTCTTCTCATGAAGGAAGTTGCCATCTATATAGTTGAAATAGTCCTTTGGACTCTCTTGGCAACTGTTTGAGAGAGTAATAGAAGGTGCTAGTTCCACTAGAAGATGCTAACTTAGCGAGAAAATCCGCCACTTGATTTGCTTCTCTGAAGCAATGAGAAATCTATACAGTAGCGTCTCTCATAGCATGAATATTATCCATGGTAATGTTATTTAACTTAAGGTTATTGGTTCCCCTGTTAAGAAGCATATTAGCAATCACCATGGAGTCCAGTTCAATATGAATCATGCCTAGCCCATGTTGAATGCACCATTTAGTGCCAAAGCTGGCCGCCATTGCTTCAGCCTGATTGTTGTTGCTGCTGCTGTACACAGGGAGAGAAAAAGCCATCAGGAAATCTCTTTCTCTGTCCCTGATAATACCTCCGATGCCAGCATTTCCATTTTCTCTGATGAAGCTTCCATCTGTGGTGAGTTTGATCATCCCCGCCATAGGTTTATTCCAAGTGACTTGCTTGATGTTCACTGTGTATTGAAGTCTTCAATCATATTGCAAATATTGGTCCATGTACCTGTTAAGTTATAACTAGGATAGGTGATTTGAAGGGCTGCATGAATGTGCCAGATGGTTTGAAATTCCATCTTGCTTTTGTAGAATTTTTTTGCTCGCCATATTTATATGTCGTCCAACTTTTCAAAAGTTCCCAAAAGATTACCACTGGAGCTATCTGTAATAGAAGCTTGTGTATAGAATTTTTTGGATTAATGTCCCACCGTTCCTTAATAACTCTGTTGGTTGGCTACTGGTGGTGAGTGATTACTAAAGGAGCACTAACGTATTTCCAAATGTGCCTAGTTGCTACTCCCTCCACAAAGGTGTGACGGATAGAGTCATTATTAGGCATATTGCAACAACAACATCTGGATGTTATTTGGTTGCCAAATCTAGCAAGTACTTCATCAAAGGGGATTTTACCTAAACACAATCTCCAAGTAAGAAATTAGAATTTAAAAGGAATAGAGTTATGCCAAAGCTTACTGAAGAACATATTTGTAGGTATTCGTTTGCGGATAATATGCCACACAGATTTATTTGAGTATTGGCCATCTTTAGTACTATTCCATACAGCATCATCTATAACAGTTGGTTGGCCAATGTTAATATTGCTAATGGCTTCCACCATTTGATTTGTGAGGGTGTTGCACAGCTTGTTCATGTCCCAGTCACCATTGCTAATAAATTCACTAACGTTGGTTTTATTACCAATGGAGGTAGTAATACTATTATTGCCATAAGGCAAAGGACCTGTCATTGTCCAATTGTCCTACCAAAAGTTGCAGTCACCAGAGTTAATAAGCCATATGATATTGCCTTCTGCTTTGTCTCTAGCCATAGAAAGCGTTTCCAAGCCTGTGAGTTGTCCGAGATCCATTTCTTTTTAACAGGATGACTCCTTGGGCAATATTTAGCTCTAAGAAAATCAGCCCATAATGAAAGATTTTGTTCTAAATCTCCACCATCTCTTGATAGTTAATGTGGCAGAGATATCTTCAAGACTTTTAATTCCAATGCCACCTTCCTCTTTAGGAAAGTATAAGTTTTTCCAGGAGCTCCAATGATAATTATTTTTTTCTTCAATAGTTCCCCAAAGGAACCTAGCCATATGTTTTTCAATAAGGTTCAAAGTGCCTTTGGGAGGGCTTAGAGCAGTAAGCGTGTAAGTGGGCAGAGACTATAAAACACTCTTGATAAGAACCACTCTGCTCCCATAGGTTAACATTCTACCTTGCCATCCATTAAGCCTCTTTACAATTTTGGTAACCATGTTATCAAAAAAACATATCTTTTTCCTTTCAACATATATTGGACAACCAAGATAAGTGAAAGGGAAGCTCCTATCCATAAAGCCTGTGCAATCTCTCAACCTGTTGATTCTATAAGTGCTAGCTTTAGCGCCTGTGAGAAAAAAGCTTTTTATCCTTATTGACAAGCTGACCCAATGCCTTTTCATATTTTTTGATCTCTTTCATCACCATCTTGATAGTTTTTGAATTACCACCATAGAAGATAACAATATCATCAACATAAGCTAGATGATTTATTTGAGGCCCTCTCTTATTCATAGAGAAGCTAGTGAAGTTCTCATAATGAATAAGGTTGTTCAAAGATCTAGTTAATATTTCTGCAGCAAGAATAAAGAGAGAGGAGGATAGAGGATCCCCTTGCTTGAGTCCATGAGAAGAGATAAAGAAGTCATGTCTAGTACCATTAATAATAATCGAGTACCAAATATTCGAGACCATCCTCCAAATCATATCAGACCATTCTTAACAAAACCCAAATTTATTGAGGACAGCAATAAGAAAGCCCCAAGAGAGCCCGTCATAGGCTTTATCCATATTAAGTTTCATAACAATATTTCCACCCTTGTTTGGTTTTGAGATATCATGAATGATCTCCTAAGCTAGCATCACATTTTCCGTGATTAGTCTCCCAGAGATAAAACCACTTTGGTTTTCAAAGATTATCTTGGATAGAAGAGGATTCAACCTTCTGGATAAAAGTTTAGAGATGATCTTACTAGTGTAATTACACAGACTAATAGGTCTAAGTTCTTCAAATCTTGACAGAGAACCACCTTGAGGATAAGAGCAATGCAGGCATAAGAGTAAAATTTAGTGAGATTCTTCCCTTTAAAGATATCCGTGACAAATTCAATGATGTCCTGCTTGATGATATCCTATGTAGCTTGAAAATATTTCTCATTAAAGCCATCAGGTCCAGTAGAGCTTTCAATACTCATATTGAAAACAGTGTCTTTGATTTCCTCTTTTGAAGGCATGATAATCAACCTCTCATTGTTTTCCTTTGTAATAAGGTTAGGAATGCAATTCAGGATATCATTGCTCACACTAGATTGCTGGTTGAGATTGAAGAAGCTCTTAAAGTGCTTGACATCAGCCTTAGCAATTTTATCCTCACCTTGTATCCACCTATCTCTGTCATTCTTCATTATGTGAAGTTGAAGCCTTCTTCTCTTATCTCTCAGAATACTATGAAAATAGCTAGTGTTGCAGTTACCATCCTTGAAACAATTAATCCTAGTTTTCTGTTTTATCAAGGATTCTTGCATTCCCAGCCATCTAGTATATTCAGCATAACTTCTATTTAGCTCTTCTCTTCCTTGCTCATTGTTATTTTGCATATCAATTTCTTCTAGGATTTTCACCTTATCTTCTTAGGAACTTACTTGTTCATGAATATCCCCAATGTTATCCCTTAACCATTGACTGAGATGCTTACTAAGAAGTTTCAGCTTACTTTGGAGCCTCCACATAGCATTACCTTCAATATTGGTGTTCCATATCTCCTGAACCATATCTAGAAAGCCAGGTTGAGTGATTCAGAATTTGAGGAATCTAAAGTATTTGATGTGATGTTGTTGGTCATTATGACATTTTACTATAAGGGGTTTATGATCAGAACCATTCCTTACCAAATATTTCATAGTGTAATTTTGGAAGTGTTGAGCCCATTGAACATCGATCATAATTCTTTCCAATCTCTTCCAAATTCTTTTTTTAGGTCTTCTACTATTGTACCAAGTGTATCTTGGACCAGTAAAACCAATGTCTATTAAGCCACAAGATTCCATAGTGCTAATAAAATCTAGATTTCTATATGTTCAATGAGGATTACCACCTAGTTTTTCAGCTGAATCCATGATAATGTTGAAGTCACCACCAATACACCTAGGGCCATCAATAGTGTTGTTCATGTAATGAATACTATCCCACGGATCTCTTCTTTCACTAGTAGTACATTTGGCATATATTATTGTAATGAAGGTTCCTGAATCTGCAACATTTTCTTTCATATTGAGAGTAATTTTTTGTTCAATATTTATCAACACCTCAGTGTGATCCAGGTAGTTCCAGAAGCACCAAATCTTACCATTGACATTAACCTGACAATGTTGAAATCCTAAGAATCTTTTGTATCCATTTATCTTACTCATATCAACAAAGGGTTCAAAGATTGCCACAAAAACTACCTTGTTGATGTTGATAAGAAGTTTAAGTCTGTGAATAGCCTTCTTGGATTTCACCCCTCATATATTCCAGAAGATTGTACTAATCATTGGATTGAGGGGAAGGTTTGTTGTTTGCTTCCTCTTCCTTTACCAGAAGGGGATGTGTTGTTTTTGATTTGTTTTCCTGCTTTTTTGTTTCTGTTTCTTTCTTTGGATAGAGATGATTCACTTTTGTCTATGAAATTTTCAGCAATCTCTGTGAGGTATTTTTGTTTACTTTTCTTCCTGTCAATCTTTCTGTTTTTGCTTCTTCCTCTAGAATAGGAAAATCCATCTTCATACTGATTTTGAGAAGTAACCTCATATCCATTAGTCATAGTTTTGGATTCCATAGTTGCTTCTTCTTCCACATGGTTGATTTGTCCTTGGTTGCAACATTCAGGCAGTTGGCTTTGATTTATCGTGTGATCCCAGTTAAGATCATACAAACATTTATGGCTTTTTGGTTTTTGATCTCCAAGGGTAAGCTAGTTGATTGGACATCCTCAATTGTAGCCTCTATGATTGCATTGTTCTCTTGATTGTCTCCCTTGTATTTGTTTTGGTCACTGCTTTTTTCCTCACTGCTCTTTACCTCTTTTCCTGTACTCTTTGCTCAGATTTCCCTAGTATCATGAAGTTTATTAGTAGTCATACTGGGTTCCCTCTCTGCTACACGATCTTGATTTAGGACATTCTCATGGTGATTACCTTCAGTCATTGAGGCTGCTATTTGTAGTGGAACTGATAGGATCTTGACATGATAGTGCTTCTTAGTGATCTTATCTCTGATAGCAGGTTTGAATTTGACATTGCTCTTATTTTTTGTCATTTTTTTGCTTTCTTATTCTTTTTCTTCTTCTTTTTTTGTTTCAGCATCAATGTTTTGTTGTAGTATAGGGCTGTCTGTTTTCTCTTTTACCTCTTCCTCCTCAATATTTTGAGTTTTTGTCTATAGAGTGTGTTCACCCTCTGCTGGTTTCTGATTCTTCGTAGTATGAGTCTCATTTTCTCTATCTTGTTGTTGTGGTCTTCTTTTTTACCAGTTGCTTTGTTCTTGGTTTGATGCTCCTTGCTTTTGTCTTGCACCTCCTCGGCATTAGTTGCAATCTTCTTCTCTAAAGCCCTGCATTCAATCACATTGTGTCCCAGTTTTCTACAATGTTTACAATACTTAGGTATGCCCTCGTATTCCAATTTCTGAGTGTAACCATCTGGTGGTGAATCATCATATTCTTGGCTTATGAATACACTTTCCGGCAGTGGCTTAAGGAGATTAACCTCCACCCTAATCTTGGACATACTTGGTCTAGTTCTTCCATAGGAAGCCGCATCTAGAACCAAAGGGGTTCCGACAGAGCTGAGAATTTGTTTAACATAGTTCCATGTGTGCATATGGAAAGGCAGTCCCGGCAGTAATACCCACGTTGGGGCAACAGGGAGATCTTCTTCAGGTTTAAAATTAGGGGACCATTTTTGTAGCCACATTTACCGACCATCAATTTCATTCACTCTTTTAAACCATACCATTTGACAATCTTCCTCATTGAATAGGTCGATGAAGACATTGTAATTGTCAAAAACACCAATTCTGGCGGATCCTTTCAAAGTTATCAACTCGTTAAACCTTGACCTAATTCTATCAATTTGGGGCAGGGTTTAAGAAATCGACAATTGTGTACTTACATTCTTCTGCCATTAGGCCATAGTAGTCTTTATCCTTAAACATCACTGCTGGATTCACTCGGTTGAGTGCCGGTCGCGTTACCCGAGTTTGGGGCGTAACACTTTTAATAGTTATACTTTTTAAGATAAATTCTTCTAGATGTTAGTTGACTTTACGAACAACTCACATTTAAAACATGTTTTTGAGCTTACCTACAATATTAAAAGTATCCATCTCTAAAAATAATACTCTCTCCAACGGCTAACTCAGCGACTATATTATCCAGCGCGTATCTCCACGCTCCACCAAATGTAGCCGTCGGGAGGCCTACTTCCGGCGAGTAAGGAGAAGCAAAACATCCCTCTTGAGGGAGCGAAACTACCCACTGAAGGAATTCAAAATAAAATCTCCTATGCGACATCGGTCACAGCTCCGTCCTCTTCCAATTCGAACCCAATTCGCCATGAAAGGGAACAAGTTATTGCAAAGCATACAACTCATGCCAGCATTATCAATGTACTCTTTGGTATCTTTTTGAGGCTACGTAGATATAGTGTGGGTTGTATATGGGTGCTTGGAATGTTAAACAAGTTGTGTTGTGATTGAATCACTTGTTCCACTTTGAACCATGAAAGTGTGTGTGTGTGTTTTGAGATTTATTAAATGAAGTAACTAATGGTAATGAATTTGGTATTGTCTACATGATCTCTTTATTGGTTAATTAACAAAGTTATGTATTCCATATAGATCATGGGTGAGTTTGGGTAGAAAGTGCGCTGGGAAGAGGGTGTACCACTATCGTTGATCAACGCCTCCTGCTATGGAATCACCTATATTCATTAAAGATGCAGCGCCCCCGGCCAAAGGGATATTAGTATGTATGAAATAATATTAGTATGTATAACTAAATGTCCTCTCAATAGAATGAGTAATAATGCAAGAAGAAACAATCATTATATCAATTAAAAACCTCAAGCCATATCAATTATCAAGTTGGGAACACGATGAGTCTTTTATGTAAACCTTTGTATTTAATATTTGAGGGATCTTAGCACTGGTATGTCACCATTCACAATACCGTCATGATTTTCGTACGGAGTCCGATCACGACCCAATCGGCTAGGCCATCTCATCCGAGATATCAACCACAATCACAATCACAAGTCTGATTTAAATTATAATTTCTAGCACAATCACCACCATGTATGCGGTATGGCGTCCGATCAAGACCCGATATGAAGTCAATGCATTTAAATATGCAACCCATACTTTAAACGCATTCTCATATAGTAGTAAAATATAACAAGAACATTTGAATTACATATTGAATACGGATGTCTTACGACACAAGCTTATTTGGAATAATCGATTCATAATGAGCAACTCGTGACTTACATGGATATTGTGGGTTTCAATTCTAAGAGAAGAGTTTAGACAACATACCTCACTTGAGTTTCCTTAAACTCTAAAATGTTCCAGAAATCTTAGCAACTTCAATCTATTTTAGAAATGTAACAAAGAACCAAAATTAGGAAGATGATCATGGTTCTAGCTCATTTGAGCATTTTATCAAACACTAGGTGGGCATTAGGGTTTCAATGTCCTTCTATGGAGGATTCCATCATCCTACAATCCATTCTTTACCATTGTTAGCTCAACAATCTTCCTACATCCCTTGATAACACATGCATGCAAAATAAACAACTCTCATACCCAAGAAGTTTCTTACTAATTACCCATTTCGAAATTAAGGGTTAGGGTGTAGAATCTTACCTCTAGGATGAAGACCTAGTGAGTTTTCTTTGTTAATCTTCAAAGATTTGAGCAAGAATTGAAGGACAATTTGTTGAGGTGGGCACCACTGACTGGGTATGCGGTCATTATGCAGCCCGCAAACCTATTCTGCGGTCGCATAGTCGACCACGAAAAGGCATCCAGCATGCCCATTTTTCTGCTTCATTTTGCGGCCATTATGTGGCCCGCAGAGTGATTCTGCAGCCACATAGTGGAAATGCCTTTTTCTGCCAAACATTTTCCTTTACTCTCCAGCGCACTGTTCAACCCAAAACGTTTGTACCGTGGCTCGGAAGCTCGGCATGAAGAATCTCTACAATCATAAACACGTAAGTTTACTTCGGCATCATGAAATCTCGGGTTTTAGGTGAAATTTTAGGGGCCTTACAAAAAGAATGGTTGTTGTCACCTTATTATTTTTATTTTAAGTTATTCATGTTGTTGTTTCATTGTCATTGTCAATATTACTTGGATTGCTACTATTAAATTAAATCGTTATTGATAATGTTATGAATATTATCGTTGTCATGATTAAAAGATCTTCTTTGAAATTTTCATATGTCCAGTAGATTTGTCGTGAGATAAATTAACCCTACTTTCACCTGAGTAATTTAATGATGATCATGACTATAAGGTTAATATCATCTACTTTTCTCTTGTCATGTAAGTAAAATGAAGTTATCAAACAACCCATTTGCTTTTAATATTGAGATTACGTTGTCGAAATTTGAATACTACTAATTTGATTATTTTAGTTGTTGTCTCGAAATACGAACCCTGAATAATTAATAGGCAATCCAAATGAATATAGTTTGTTTTCACATCATATAGTTTGTTTTCACATCATAATTAAGTAAAATTAATATAGTTTGTTTTCACATCATATGAATCTGTATAATAGAGATGGATGATTAAATATAAAAATGCGTATAATTATATAAAAATGAATTAGATAAAAAAAAATTGACTTGTATATTGTAAAACTTTTATAAATATATTATATTATGGATGTTCATTTAGTACTCCGTTGTAAATAAGTTTCCTGAAAA